GAGTAAATAAAATGACCGCTCTATTGACGGCATGTTTGTTTTTTACAATCCATGTGCGCGCGCTGAATTGCATCAGCAAAAGCGCGCGCGAAAACTGTGTTCAGCCACCTTAAGCACGGCGGCTAAAACTTCGCTTTCAGTTGAAAGATCTTGCGTCAACTGATAACAAAAGAAAACAACTTAACCTTTATACAACTTGCGGGCTGTCGCGGCGTTTTCGTGAGCGCTTGCGATACGCGCGTGCAACTAAATAAAGGTCGCGCGCTGATGTTACGAGGCCGCGCGTGCAACTAAATTAAAATTCGCGCGCTGCTCTATTGCGTCAGTTACAGTTACAGCAGACGAAAAGAACATGAGGATGAAAGGGTGTTAACCATCCAACCCTAAAGAATGACCAGCATCTAATTTCTCCTTACAATTTCACCTCTGAATCATACGTAAAGGTTACAAGAATAGAGGAAATGATCAAGAACTAGAGAAGCCCTTGATTTTTTAAAATTCTCTTAATCAGTACCTTAGGAAATGTGAAGATAAAAGGATGGAGAATATGCATACTGATGTTAGGCTTTAGAGGGTTAGGGAGGTGGAGGAATTGTCAATACGCCATGTCTGTATGGGAGGTGGAGGAATGGTCACAACACCATCAAGTATTATGTCCTCTTCTTGATCAATGTGTGAGTTTTAAAAATTGTGTCAGTCACATTTCTCGATATTTCTGGCTATTCAGAGGTTGTTCATGAACAAATCTTTCACAGTTTAATTTCAGGTAAGAAAAGAAGGGGAGAATGTTAATCACATCCGGAACGTTAACCTTATCAATTCCAAAGAGTGACTACCTACTCATTTCTTCTTATTGGATCTCTACTGACTCAGACATTACATCACAAGAATAAAGATGACTGCTAACTGAAAAAGCTATTGAGTGTTTTGAAAAAGAAATTCCCTGTGTAAGTATCAAAGAAGGTGTTTAGAGAACAGTATGAAGAATAATGACACCAATGTTAAAGTGGAAAGGGTTTAGCTCCGAGGACTCCTGGGTCCAGCTTTATTTATTGTTTTTTTCTTTACATACCTCTAGATGTCAAACATGAATTTAACAAACTAAGAGATTTAAAGCTCTTTCAATCTTATCAGTGATTGACAAATTGTGGTGATCATGATAAGAAAAAATGACAGTAAAATATATCTTTAGCAATATTTTCAAAATTTCTGGCTAAAGATTGAATAATTATGTTCTTATATCCTTGCTGTAATTGTAAACAAACTAATTCAGTGTTTATGGCAATTAACCCAACTAAGTTGAGTAACATTTGTATTCAAAACGTTATAAAGATGTTAAAGATAGTGACCATAATTAATGCAATTTTATCACTGTTATAACCTGTTAGAAATTCAGAGTTACATTACAGCTCACTCACAACCTCAACTAAATTTCCATTTGCCATGTTTGGCTTGAAGAAGTAAAATTGGAAATGGAATTTTGGATAATTTTGGGCTAGTAATAAGATCCCCTCCTTCAGGACCCTCCCATACTGGAAAGAAAAGAAAAAAACAAATCAAGCAAACAAACAAAAGGAAAGAGAAGGAGAGAGAGGGAGAAAAAAAATTTGAGACTTGCTATCCTACAACAGTTCATCTTAACCACATTACATCTAAAGTTGAAAAATGCATCTGTAGTGGTACTACTCAAATTGACAGGAGAGTTCTCAAACAAAACTATGTACAACTAGTACAAACAACAAGAAATGTAAGTGGAATCCTTAACATTAGTACCACAGTCACTTTCAACATGGAGCATGCACAGAACAGAGTAAAAAAGAAAGACCCTTTTAGAACCAAGCTACATATCAGTGGTTTCTTTGGAGGATTGCACAAGTGTGTACCATACCTTTCTGAAAAAAAATTATTCCTAAGCCCTCCTCCCTTCTGAAAATTATAATTTTTAATCATAAATTTCTATAAATCTCCTAAGGATGGGAAGGGTCTCCTTACTACTTAGTCAATGGAATCTTTTTGCAACCTGACTCTAACTTGATCCTGCATCAAAACTTTCATGTCATACACAGTGTCCAAAATCCCTCAAAGTAAAGAAACGAGTTAGAAAAGGTTCAACTTTTGAGTGTCATTATATTTAAATGCAGCAACTACAAGATCAAACTTGTCCAATAATGGAAAATATGATAATTTAGAAATGTCCCAAAACTAGCTATTTTCATGAATTTGTGATGCAGATTTACAAACATTACAACTTCATGCCCATTACTTTAATGAAGAGCAAGAAATATTGTTCCCCTGAGCATGAACTGAACATGTGTTTGAAACAGTTCCACTCTTATTGCCATATTGCAGCAATGTTTAATTTTGTGAAACTGTTAAAACAATTAATAACACAATCTTGAAATTCAAATGTCACAACAAAGAGCAAGATATCTTATTCTTTTTGCCCTTTGTCCTCTGCTTGTTTGGTTTAAGTGTGATAATATCTCCAGTCTCTACTTGTTGTGTTGCACGTGCATTGTTGTTTCCACCTTGTGATGCACTCACTGGTGAGGTTGTATTAAACATTCCAGCAACTGTGAAAGAGAAGTTAAAGAACATCTTTAAAATTATAATTTGGATATATCAACAAAGTTGAAATGGTAAATTGGCCACCGTAATGATTACAAAAGCTGACGTTTCGAGCGTTAGCCCTTCGTCGGAGCGAATAGAGGAATTGTGGGTTGCGTGGGCTTTTAAAGGCAGAAAATGGAGCTACGTTATTGGTGGGTGCATGGCAACGAGAAAAACATGAATAAATTAGTGGAATGAAAAGCGTTCATTGATCCCTGTGGGATTTAGACTGCCGGTTTGAAAGATGAGCTTTTGTTCAAGATTTTTACGGCTTTCCGTGCCACCTAAGTGCAAGGAAAGACCGCAGATTGCCATATGTTGCTTAGAATGATTAGGTAAATTAAAATGTCTAGCGACTGGTTTCGATGTGTCCTTGTCATTCCTTTCCACGTCTCGAAGGTGTTCTCGGAATCGGTCACCTAGTCTTCTGCCTGTTTCGCCGATGTATATCTTTTTGCAATAAGTGCAAGTTATGCAATAGATTACATTGGCGGAGGTGCACGTGAAGTGATCGGTGATCTTAATGGATCGTTTAGGTCCCGATATTTTATCAGTGTTGTGAATGAAAGGACACGTTTTGCATCGTGCACGAG